AGCTTAAAATAATCCTTACCCCAGGATATTTTTCCACTGATTTTTAGAGAGAGTAGAAGGGAGGGAGAGAAAAATAGAGAGAGAAGCATCAGTGTGAGAGAGACATATTGATTGGTTGTCTGCCTCCCACATGTGCCCTAACCAGGGATGGGGATCAAACCTGCGACCCAGTATATGCACTTGACTGAGAATCAAATCTGTAACCCTTTGGTGTGAGGGTGGACACTCTAACCACTGAGTCACACCATCCATGGCTAAAATTACAGATTTTTATTTTTATTTTAAATATATTTTATTGATTTCTACAGAGATGAGAGGGAGCAGGATAGAAGTTAGAAACATTGATGAGAGAGAAATATCCATCAGCTGCCTCCTGCACACTCCCTATTGGGGTTGTGCCTGCAACCAAGGTACATGCCCTTGACCTGAATCAAACCTGGGACCCTTCATTCCGAAGGGCAACGCTCTATCCACTGAGCCAAACCGAGTAGGGCTATTTATTCTTTTCAAATTGATTCTAGGGAGAGAAAAAGAGAGAGACAGAACCATTGAATCTATGGAGCCTGAACCCGAAACCTGGGATGTGCCCAAATCGGGAACCAAACCCCCGACTCTCTGTGACCCCTCGGCACCCAGGCCCGGGCCGGGTCTGCATGTCTGGGTCCCTCAAGCGCTTCAGACACGTGGGAAGCAGCTCATTGGCCAACATGCCTCATGCGGCCCCAGGCGTTTCTCTCCCGGAAACCATGTCTCAGCGGATTATGAAAAATGGATCAACCCTGATCTCTAACCAATCACAGAGCAAGGCGGGAACAAGAAGTGATCCCCGGAGTGGGTATATAAACACACACTGTCAGCGCCTGGCACGGAGTTCATCAGTCTGGGCTGCAGGACCTACCGGTGCGGAGGCTGCGGAGGCTGCAGAGGCGAACTGTGAACCTGTTACTGAGTCCGAGCCCTACTGTCACTCTCCATCAGGAGCTAACTTCAGGCTGGGTTTACCCCAATCCCATTGGAGACGTTCCCAGGGAATATGGCTACAGACCAGGTATTTTCCGATGTTCATGGGCACCCCCAGGGCAACCTGGGCTGGGCGCTGCCACCTGCCAGACGACCTCAGGGACACCTCACTGAAGGTCAGCACTGGGACTCTGAGAGGTGGCACGTGCTATTTAGAGCCTTCCAACACTCAGAGGACGCGGACCCCCTCCATAGCGTGCACACAATGTCTGTGCTCCTCCATCGCTGGCTCAGGCCAGATGTGCTCACCAAGAAGCAGATCTTGGATAAGCTTCTGCTGGAGAAGTTCATGATCTGCATGCCCTTGGAGCTGCAGGTCTTGGTGAAGGAGAGGCGTGTGCAGAGCTTCGAGGAACTGAAGGTCTTGCTGAGAAATAAGGAGAAACCCAGGAAATGGAAGGTCGTCAGCTTCCAAGGGCAGAAATACCTTCAGGAGAATTCCCTTGTCCAGATGGCCGACGAGGAAGTTGGTGACACAGACCACATGTTGGACTTACCCGTGAAGTCCCGATCCCCCATAAGTCAGACGGGGTTACATCCTGAGAACAGCCAGGAGGTCAATGGAGAGCTGGGAAACCAGCCAGGAACCAGTGACGTGCTGTGGGGACAGAACTGTGGACCTGATACCGAGTCAGTCCCTTCTGTTGCTCTCCATCAGAAGCTCATGTTTCCAGTGAATATGGCTGCAGACCAGGCATTTTCCGATGGTCGTGGGCTCCCCCAGGGCAATCTGGGCTGGGAGCTGCTACCGGCCGGAACGCCCCAGGGAATCCTCACTGAAGAACAGCACCAGGACTCTGAGAAGGGGCACGGGCTCTTCAGAGCCTTCCAACACTCAGAGGACGCGGACCCCCTTCATAGCGTGCACACAATGTCTAGGCTCCTCCATCGCTGGCTAAGGCCCGATGTGCTCAACAAGAAGCAGATCTTGGATAAGCTTCTGCTGGAGACGTTTATGACCATCATGCCCTTGGAGCTGCAGGTCTTGGTGAAGGAGAGGCAAGTGCAGAGCTGCGAGGAACTGAAGGTCTTGCTGAGAAATAAGGAGAAACCTAGGAAATGGAAGGACATCACCTTGCAAGAGCAGAAGTATCTTCTGGAGAATTCCGATGTCCAGATGGCCAATGAGGAAGTCGGTGACACAGACTACATGTTGGACTTGTCCATGAAGTTCCAATCCCCCATAAATCAGGCGGGGGTACATCCTGAGAACAGCCAGGAGATCAATGAAGAGCCGGGAAACCAGCCAGGAACCAGTGATGTGCTGTGGGGACAGGGGCAGAAAGTCTTCTTGCCGGAGGCAATTTCCACGAAAAATGATCTTGAGGGTGTGAGGCCCATGGAGAAGTTGGTGAAGTTGGAGAAGGATGTGATGGAAGACAGGGAAGAGGCAGTAGTACTCACATCTCCAGAGCCTCCACTTCCCAGCAGTCCTGGAGATTCAGTGCAGACAGAGGGAGAGCAGAACCCGCCGGAAGGAATTGGTCTGGAGCGTGTGGATGCCGGTGACGTACCTCCCACCCAAGTTCCAGAGATACAGGCTTTGAGTCAGTGTCCAAAGAGAAGAGGTTCTGGGAAACTAGGAGGTGCCCCCAAGAGAAAAAGGGGCAACACTCCCACCCCCCAAGAGGAGCCTCAAGAAGGAGCCATGTCGTTGGACAGAGAAGTCACCAGACGGCACCGGTGCCATTCAGTGGGTGCATCAAGCACCATAGAGCCAACTGGTCACCCTGTTTGCAAAGTATCCAGGAGAAAGATACCGTACAAGTGTCAAGACTGTAGCAAAATGTTCAGCTACAAATCACAGTTAGACCTTCACCTGAGGACACACACAGGAGAGAGACCCTTCCAGTGCCTTGACTGTCCCAAGAGGTTCATTCAAGCCTCAGACCTCCACGTCCACTTCCTCCAAGCCTCAGCCCTCCACGTCCACCAGCGGATCCACACGGGTCAGAAGCCGTTCTGCTGTAAAGTCTGCGAGAAGAGATTCACCCACAAGTCCACACTGCGTAACCACCAGCGGGTCCATACCCAGGAGAAGCCTTACCAGTGCGCCGTCTGCCAGAAAAGGTTTGGCCACCATGGGAACCTCAACGTCCACATGCGCACCCACTCGGGCCTGAGACCCTACCCGTGTCCCCATTGCCACCTGGCCTTCCGCCAACTGGGGACCTTAAAACGCCACCAAAGGACACATGTCAACAAGGTGCCCTAGGGGCCCCAGGTCCATTCTGACCAAGAAGGACATTAACGGGTCTCTCTCCTGCGTGTGTCCTCTGGTGAAGGTCTGAGATTTATAATAGAACCTTTTGCTGCAAAAATGGTCTATGAGCACTTAGACAGAGGGGGTTCTATGAATTAGAATTGGGGTCCTTGAGTAATTACTTATGTTCCTTATTGGCCCAATATTCTGTTAGTCTTGCTATTTGTTTCAATAAATATTTCACGATTCACTCCTTAAAAAAAATACATCCTGCATACCAGATATTTACATTATGATTCATAACAGTAGCAAAATTACAGTTATGAAGTAGCAACGAAAATAATTGTATGGTTGGGGGTCACCACAACATGAGGAACTGTATTAAAGGGTCGTGGCATTAGGAAGGTTGAGAACCACTGATTGAGGGCGATGTTAACAATCCCAAGGAAGCTGGTCCCATGAAGATCTCCAGGTCCCCGAGGCCCAGAGGCTGAACAAATCCCAGCCCAGAGGACGTCACCGTTTCTCATTCCAATCGAATCTTTCTTGCTATCGCGTGGTTTGCACTCCAAATGCATTCCAAAAGCAACAAATAAGTAAATAACAAAAAAGATGGGCAGCTCTGCAGCCCTCTGTGGAAATGTTTGCAAAAATGTGATGACCATTTTTGTTCAAAGATGTAGAGATTGGTGAAACATGTTTGTCTAACGTCTTCTGCCAATTTCTGGTTGAGTCTTTCGGCATGTCCAAGTGCCAGATAGCATAAAGGAGGACACACAAAACACATGGCTCCCCAATGACACTGGAACATACTTTTAAAAAGTACAACTGCATGCCCTCGCTGGTTTGGCTCAGTGGATAGAACGTTGGCCTGCGGACTGAAGGGTCCCGGGTTCAATTCCTGTCAAGGGCACATGCTCAGGTTGCAGGCTCGACCCCCAGTGGGGGGCGTGCAGGAGGCAACTGATCAATGAGTCTCTCTATCATCACTGACGTTTCTATCTTTCTCTCCCTCTCCCTTCCTCTCTGAAATCAATAAAAAAATTTTTTTTTAAAAAAGTACAACTGCAAGCACCCCAACGCCATCGTTTGTTTCATGAGGTCCAACAGCATTGGCTGTGAGCTTCAGGATGGGAAAACCGTGGGCTGCGGTCCTGGCTGGGGCAGGTCACCTCCCTTCTCCAGATTTTCTCATCCATAAAGTGTCAGACTTAGATCTGATCATTGGATTTCACATTGGGTTCCCCGAAGCTCTTGGGGGTGCCCTGGGAGGGCTCCCACCCCTACATCAATCAGAGGTACTCCCCTTTTGTTGGTCTCACATTTTAGATTTCCGATTCTGATTTTTTTGGGTTTTCCTGATTAGAAAAAAAAATAAAAAGACTTGAAAGCTACTTTCTTAGATCATCTCTAAGCTCCTGTCTAGCTTCTGATTGTGCTGATCTGTGTTCAAGAGCAGAAGGAAAGGGGGCATAGAAATGGCATAGAAAACATAGAGGTCAGACTCAAAGAACATCCCTAAAGCAAAGAACGTCCCCTTGCTGTCCCGAAGAGGAGAGTGGAGAGGTGCTGTTTGTGGGGATCCTTGAGAAGAGCTGCAGGAATCTCGGATGCAGGGAGCTGCTGCCCTATCCAGGCCGGGGCAGGCAGGATGGAGGGAGGGCTCCAACTCTGTGAAATTCCTGTGTGGGCCGAGCAATTCCTAGATGGGGAAAGGCCCTGCCGACCACAAGCCAAAGTTTGTTCTCTGTGTTTCTTTCCTTCTACCTGCGCTTACTCCTCCCAGCTTTCCAACCCGAGTTACACATTCAACAGATACCCATGAGAGCCGACCGTGTGCACAACACCGTGTGTGTGTGTGCAGGCATTCTGGAGAGCGAGACAGGACCTGACTCGAAACCCCGGTCATCCAGGGACACCGGTACTGGGGCTCCCAAGGAGAACTGCAATTGTGGGGGACAGGGACCCAGGGCTACTCGGGTGGGCTTCCTTGTGAGAAAACCTAAGAGGTGAGAATTAATCGGGTGGAGCGGGAAAGATCCCAGGTGAGGACCCCCTCCCAGGGAGGCCTGAGGCCCGCACCAGCCATTTGCCCGAAGCCTGCTCTATGGCGTGTTGGTTACCCCAAATATTGTGCCTCTTTGGCTGGGGATGGAGTTGATGGCACTGAATCCCACCCATCCTCAGCCCCTGATCTTCCAAAGCCCCGGGAGGAAAAAGCTGGCACAAGGCACCAGGTGAGCCTGGATGCGAGCGCACGGGGGCTTGTCCATCCGGGCCTGTCTGTGGGTCGGTCCTCAGCACCCAGCAGAGGGTCTGGCCTCGAAGAGATGCTCGTCAGTGTCTGTGGAGCGAATGACAGGAGAGGAGGTGCTGTAATGCGGCGGCTGAGAGCATGGGCTCCAAACACAGCAAACCTGGTCTCGCATCCGGGCTCTGAGCTTCCCAGCTGTAGGTCTTGGACAAGTTCTGTGGAGCAAGTTCTATGGAGCAGCGACAGCACGGACTTCAGTGGGACCAGACGTGGAGGTGCTGTCGTAGAAGGAACTCGGGTGTGTGGTCTGCAGGGGCCTGGGGTGTGGTGCCAGGGCAGGGGTGCGAGGGAGAATGGGTCCCATCTCCAGGTGCCGAGAGGCCTTCCTCAAAGGGGCTGCTGGATGTGGTTTTGTTTTGTTTTTTAAATATATTTTATTAATTTTTTACCGAGAGGAAGGGAGACGGATAGAGAGTTAGAAACATCGATGAGAGAGAAACATTGATCAGCTGCCTCCTACATACCTCCCACTGGGGATGTGCCTGCAACCAAGGTACATGCGCTTGACCAGAATTGAACCTGGGACCCGTGAGTCAGCAGGCCAATGCTCCATCCACTGAGCCAAACCGGTCAGGGCTGCTGGTTGTGCTTTAACGTCACTGAGGAGAGAGACCGAGGAAATGGTTGGACGATATGAGAAGGAATAAGGCCAGATGAGAGAAGAACTTCCACAGACGGAATGGGCCCAAAGGGTCAGCTGGACCCCATGGAGGTCTGTCAAGAGCCCTGTGGACATCTCCTGGAAATGTTGGGGTCGCCGCTTAGCTGCACACCCTGGCCTTTCTCTCTGTGGCTCCCCGCCTCCTACCACTTGGCTGCCTGGCTGGAGGCTGAGCCTGCTGGCACCTCCACGCTGCTCCACCCCACAGACACTGGGTGCTGAGACAGAAGGCACGAGAGGACATGAGGAGGGGGCAGTGGGGGAGGGGTGGGTGTGAAGCCACTGTCTGGAACCTGTGGTGGGGGCCGTGGGGGCAGGAGGGACCCGCTTGGAGTAAACTCGGATGCCCAGCATCATCCCAGTCCTGCCCCACTTTGAAGCCAGATGATCCATCCCCCAGCCCAGGTGAGTGGGGGGACGTGCAGTGTGGGTCACATGGGCAGTAGCGGGGCTGCTGTCTGTGTGCGAGCTCATGAGACCCTTAGGCCAGACGGCGAGGGCTCAGGACAGGACAGTTACGCCCCACCGGGCAGCTGTGGCCAGAGCACCCACCTGCATTGTGGAGGTGGGGCCAGGTCCTCCCTACCTTCTCCAACTGCAAAAGTAGAGGCGAGCAATGGGCCTTTCAGAACGTCTCTGTGTTTGGCTTTGGGTAGTGGAGACTTAGCAAACGGAGTTCAGCAGTGTAATCAAATGAAGCTAATAACAAAATTAATCTGCCACATAATTATATACACACTGCTATTATGCCACATGGTAATTAGCCATAAATAGTAAACAGGCCACAGAAGCAGGGGTAACTGATGTGCCCTTTGCACAGCCATGCCAGTGGGTACTGCAGCTCTCCAGGGTCCGGGCTGAGAGTTACCTGAGGCCAGACCACTCATTATGCTCACACTCCCCTGCTGTGCCTCCTTGCCCCAGGCACTTGTTTCCATGTTCCCATCACCCTAGGACCCACCTGTGTCCCCACCAAGCAAGGGGCCTTGGGCAGTACATCTAGTCGCTCCTTTGTTCCTGCGCTGGCCTCCAGGTTGCTGTCCTCCTTTAAGTTATTGACAAATATCTGTGCGTGACCCCACGTGGCAGGCTCTGTACTGGCTGCTGGACAGACAGGGGTGAAGGGTCCAGCCAAATGGTCAGGAGGAAACGGTGAGACATTGGGCTTATCAGGAGGAGTTCTGTTTGCTCTCTGATGTCTGTACACACATATTATTGCTCGTGACCAAGATATGTTTGTATGACTCAAAAATGGTTATTTGTTTTTTTCAAAGAGACATGAATAAGATCCAGTTTTTTATTTTTTATTTTTTTAAAATATATTTTATTGATTTTCCACAGAGAGAAAGGGAGAGAGATAGAGAGTTAGAAACATCGATGAGAGAGAAACATCGAGCAGCTGCCTCCTGCATATCCCCTACTGGGGATGTGCCTGCAACCCAGGTATATGCCCCTGACCGGAATCGAACCTGGGACCTTTCAGTCCGCAGGCCGATGCTCTATCCACTGAGCCAAACCGTTTTCAGCATAAGATCCAGTTTTTTTAATCTAAAGGAGCCAATGGGCGGGCAGAGGGAACCAGCCTCCCCCTGCTCACCACCAGGCCCTGGGAAAAGCTGGAGGGGTGTACAGAGGCTATGGGAGAAAGGGTGCAGGCAATGGCTTTTGTTGGGATGAGGGAAAGGGACTGGGGCACAGCCCAGAGCAGGTTTCATCGAGCGGCATCTGGAAGGATGAGGAGTTATGACAGGGCTAATGTGCACTGAGCGCTTCCGACGTGCCGGCTGCTCCACGTGCTGTGAATGGAGTAATGTGTGTCGCCATAGCTTTGCCATCCTCCCATTTTGCAGAGGAGGAAACTGAGTGTAGTGGATTGAATGATGTCCCTGGACAGATAGGTGCAGGGCCTAACCCCTGGACCTGTGAAGGTAGCCTTATTTGGAGACTACATAATTAAGGATCATAATTATTTTAATATCTTAAAATGAGATTATGGAGAAAACCAAGATGGCGGCATAGGTAAATGCCTGTACTCGC